TATATTTATTATTAAATTTTTGGTATTTGATAATTACATTAAATCTCGATTAATTTGAAATCAAATGGAGTTAAACTCTATTAGAGGAAATTTTTTTAATACTTATTTTTTCATTTATAAGATTCAAACTTGAAATTTTACTTAAAAATAATTGAATTCTTTTCACTTATACTAACAGATCATTGGTATATATATATTTACTTATTTTTTTATTAAGTCAAAATGACGCTAAAAAAATCACTTATGTTTTTAGAATGACACACCCACCATACATATGTAAATTGATTTTTTTGAGCAGCATAGAACCTAGAACCTATTTAATTTGAGTTATAGTAATTAGATATAGCTTAAATTAAATTTTTTATTTTATTTTACTTTACCACGCTCTTGTCTCTCCATGTTCTTTTATTCTTTAATTCTTCAATGTAAAAGAACAAAAAAAAAAAAGAAAAAAAAAAGAAGGAAAATAAGAAAGAAAAAGAGAATAAGAAGAAGAAAGACAGTTCTCTATAAAGAAATCTATCTTCTTAACTCTTTCCAAGTTTTGGACTTAATGTAATTAATTAATTCTTATTCCCTTGTTTAAGATTATAAGCCACAGTTGGATAAAGATTAAACAAACTCAATAATTTTTATTCATGGATTTGAAACAAAATAAGTATTTGTTAATTTTTGGAGGAGAATGGAGGAAAGAAAAGGAAGGTGGAAGGTGGAAGATGGAGGAGAGATGGAAGAAGGTGAAGAAGATAGGTGGAATGAGTAAAAGTTAGTTGTGTCTTTTAAAAGATTAAAATATTAATTTGGTCCCTCAACTTTTAAATTTGAACTAAAAACATCTTTAAACTTCAAAAAGTACTAAATGGTCCTTAAACTTCAATTTTTAATACCAATTTTATCCTTTCATCGACAAAATGAACAAGTGACGCTTTAAGCTGTCAATAAATCATTCTTTAAAAAAAGAAAGAAAACATTTTTTTCAATGATTTGGGATTTTATTTTTTGCCTCTTCACATTAAATTTCAACTTTTGCACATTCCAACCAAAAAAAAAAAAAAAAAATTCATCTTCTTCCCCCTTTCTTCTCTCTCATCCTTGCATTTCCTCCTTTCTCTTTTAGCCTTTTCCTCTTTTTCCTTCCTCCTTCCTTTTTCTTCTTCTTTCTCTCTCCTCCTCTCTTTTTCTTCCTCATCCCTCCTCAAATTAGGTTATCCAAGAGAATCCAAGTTCTCTTTATTTTGGGAAGAAAAGAAGAAAGGTTGAGGATGCGGGAAAGAGAGGGAAGGAAAAGGAAAGAGGAAGGAGGAAGGATGGAGAAGGTAAGGAATTTTTTTAATTTAATATATGATGTGTTGTTTGGTTACCAAGAAAATTAGAGATGGAAAGAAATTTTTTTGCTAGAGTATGTTAAGTTGCTAAGAAAATCTAACATAGCAAAAGAAACTTTTATTGTTGTTAAGAAATTTAATTACACGTGAGAAGATGAACATGAATAGAGGAGACAAATCCTAAAATTTTCAGCTTCTTTGATTTTGTTTAATTAAAGATAAATGATAATTTAAATTTATTGTTAATTATTTGATTGATTGGTTAATAACATCATTATATAAATTAATTACCACCTTTTAATTATTGCTTTTTTGAAAAAAATTATATACTTTTTTAATTAATGAGTTAAAAATCTATATAATTTACAAAATACTTTGGTCACTTGTGCATGTAAAATTAAAAATACTTGTGAAAAGAAATTAAGAAACGCCAATCCATTACCTTATGCATGTTATCTTTTTCACAATATTACTATTATTATTATTTTATTTTGGTTGCACAATGGAAGACAATTATCTTTCATCTCTTATTACATCCAACTCGTATGTTATGCGGTTTGAATTTAAAATCTCTTACTTTCAACGGAAAAAAATGACTATTAAATTATTAGGTCATTGACTTTTTCATAATATTATTTAAAAAAAATGTGATTAATGTATCCCTTGTTACTTCCATGGATGGAAGAACCAAATTAACATCAAAAATTAAAATTTAAGGATATTTTAAATTTTTTTTAACATTTAAAAATAAATTTTATTCAAATTTAAAAATTGTGAACCAAATTAGTATTTTAAACTTTCTAAAATTGAAATGATGCGGGCCTGCATACCAGATCGACATTTTAATGCTAAGAGATAGTGCTAGCATGAATTAAAGGACTCCTGTCATTAATTTCGAGTTTACCACTGTATGTAAAAGATTTGTAATTTTAGACCAAAATTTTTATATTGTATATTGAATGATTAATATCCTCAAAAACAATAAATTTAATTTAATTTAAATTATTATTTTTTTATATAACAATAACTTGACTTTACATATACATGAACCTTATGATTCAACAACCATAAATTGATTTGTAGAGTGCATCTTTTTAACTCTAAAATCAAAATTCAAATCTCTCTCCTCCCAATTTATAACCCTATTAAAAAAGAAAAAGAAAAAACCTAACGTTGCGTAGACATAAATTAACATACTAAAAACAGGGACGTGACTTGTGGGACTGACTGAATCAATTTTGGGTTAATCGTCCAAGTATTACCCTGATGTGCACGAAACACGGGAATAACCACGCCCATGATTAAACCACCATCAATGAAGATTATTGCCCACTGGGTTTCCTTTGTCATGTTTAAGACAACAATCTTCAAACAAAACCACGAGACAAAGAAATCTTGGTGGGAAAGTTAGGAGAAACCTAACAGTCATAAGATACTCCCCTACGGATCCGAGTTTGCATTAATTACCTTAACCTTAGCATTTCAAATTATTTCAATAATCCTTATTTTAACCCTACCTTAAACAGGACATTTGTTCTAATTTAACTTGGCTTATAATTTGAAACAGTTATAAAGGAAATTAGTTGTTACGATAAGGTTTATTCATTTGACACAAATTATATGATAAGACTTGAATATCCATGTTTAGGAATTTATGTTGGCCAACATTACAATTTATAACTTTTATTCAATTTTAGTAGTTTTAATTTATTTT